TCTTCAATTATTTATTGATTTTGATGGATTTATATATTTTACATTATATATATAATATTTATATATTTATTTTATAGTGAATTTCGAAAAATTTTTCTATTGTTTTTTATATTTATTTATTAAATTTTTTTTTTATTTATTTTTTTTTTATGCAAGTTAAATTATTTTTTTTTTGTTATTATTATTTTCCTTTTCTTTTTAAATTAAAAAAAAAAAGACGAAGAAATGGGCGGACGCCGCGGCATGCGTCCCTTTGTTGAAACTGAGGCGTTTCGTGCTCTAAATATTGGCTTCGGACTAGATGAGGGTCTGGCCTCGCCCACAGCCGAGTTTCCCGTTTTCTACGCTGAGCGCAGTGTTTGGCGTGAGTTCAACTCGAAGCTTATCTATGGCACATTACGTCTATTGCAAATATATCACGTTTCAGGCATGACCTTTAAGATATCGGGCACGGCTGGGCATGGCTCGCTGCTGCTGCCGAACACAGCTGGCGAGAAGCTGCACTATATACTCGATAAAATGATGCAGTTGCGTCGCCAGCAGGTGGCACGTCTTGAGAATAATCCAGAGCTAACAATAGGCGATGTCACTACCATAAATCTGACCCGCATCGGTGGCGGGGTGCAGAGCAATGTGGTGCCGCCACTGCTGACAGCTGGCTTCGATGTGCGCCTGGCACTCGATGTGGTGCACGAAGAGTTTTACGCACAGGTGAGTGCCACAAACTATATTTATATAAATTCATACATACATATACATATGTATTGCTGTTGATATGTTACCTTAGCTACAAGAGTGGATGGAGCAGGCCGGCGGAGGCATTGAGCTGGAATTTGATCAGAAGCACCCATACGTGCCAGCCACAGCCATAGATGATAGCAATCCCTTTTGGCTCGCCTTCAAGAGCGCCACGGATGAACTGTAAGGCGACATTTTACCGCTAAGAATTATTTATTATTTCCCTCCTATCGTTTCGCTTTACAGTTCGCTTAAGATTCGACCACAAATCTTTACGGGCGGCACGGATAGTCGCTATTTGCGCAAGTCGGGCATACCCGCCCTGGGCTTCTCGCCCATGAATAATACGCCCGTTCTATTGCACGA